GATTTCAATGCTGACATTATTATCGGTGTTAATGCTGGTTCCCAAGTGAACGAAATTCTCTACTTTCTCGAAATTGTAAATGTCAACAGTGACGTGGGTGCCAAGGCGCGAATGTGCTGACTGTTTGTTTGATGACAGGAGATACTTCGTCTTGTCCTCGTTTACCACCAGACCCATGCGCTTTGCTTCCCTATCCAACTTGGAAAAGGCAGAACAGACATCGCGGTTTTTGTTACCGATGATGTCGATGTCATCGGCATAAGCCAGCAATTGCACGCTCTTGTAGTAAATTGTTCCTGAGCGGTTCAGTTCTGCAGCTCTTATTATCTTCTCCAACATCAGATTAAAGAAGTCACATGAAAGGGAGTCGCCCTGTCTGAAACCCCGTTTTGTGGCGAACGGCTCGGAGAGGTCTTTTTCAATTCTGACGGAGCTGGTGGTATTGCTCAACGTCATTTTACACAGCCGTATTAGTTTCGCGGGGATACCAAATTCAGACATCGCGGCATAAAGGCAACTTCTCTTCGTGCTGTCGAAAGCGGCTTTGAAATCGACAAATAGATGGTGTGTGTCGATCCTATTCTCGCGGGTCTTTTCCAAGATTTGGCGTATTGTGAATACCTGATCTATGGTGGATTTTCCCGGCCTAAAGCCACACTGATGAGGTCCAATCAGCTCGTTGACGGTGGGCTTCAGTCTTTCGCACAATACGCTCGATAAGACCTTGTAACCTATGCTTAGAAGGCTGATCCCGCGGTAGTTGTCGCGAATGGCGGGGTCACCTTTCTTTTGGATTGGGCAGAGCACACTTAAATTCCAGTCGTCGGGCATGCGTTCATCTGACCATATTCTGCACAAGAGTTGATGCATGCACCTTATCAACTCCTCGCCGCCGTACTTGAATAGCTCAGCTGGCAGGCTGTCAGCTCCAGCGGCTTTGTTGTTTTTCAGCCGCGTTATTGCTATACGTACCTCTCCATAGTCAGGCGGTGAAACGTCGACTCCGTCATCATCGACTGTGGGCTCGGGTTCTTCTTCTCCACAACTTTCCGTGCTGCTACCATTTAGTAGGGCGGAAAAGTGTTCCCTCCATAATTTAAGTACGCTCTGGACATCAGTTACTAGGTCGCCATTATTGTTCTTCCAGGAGTGCGCCCGGTCTTTAAACCTTCCGTAAGTCGCCTAACTCTCTGGTAAAATTTTCGGGCATTCCTCCTGTGAGCCAGCATTTCAAGCTCTTCGCACTCACGTATTTCTGCCTCTCTCTTCTGCATCAAATAAATATATTAAAAAACTTACAAAAATTCGCTTATATCTTTTTTACGGTTAGGGCACGATATATACTCGTATTTCTTCTTTTCCTCGTCCACTAATATTTGATTAACGGCCGTTAGCAACTCCAAACCTTCGTTGATTGAAAAAACGGCTTTGAATTTTTCCAACCCGATTTAGCAGTTAAGGCCCGTCCACATAGAACTTTGGCGTTGCGTTGGCGTTGGCGTCGCTTCAACAACTGACTATGAATACATGAATTCAAATGCAGCCGTCCGCATAGCCAAAATTCGACAACGCTCACGCCAACACAAAGCAAAAAGATGGCCAACCCTCAACTTTTCGCGCGCGTCGCTCATCAGCTGTTCCAAATAAATAAAATTATGTGAAATATTTCTCCTTTTTAATCAAGTGCGGGCAAGAAATATCGTTTTTAACGCAATTATTGATATGAAATATTAATTTATCTGTCGTTAGTATGTTAATTTAGTGGCCCAAGCATTCGCTGCCAAGCGTTCATTGTAGCAAGCATACTTTAAACGTGCGTTCTGTCAAACCAACGCCAACGTCAAAGCCAACGCGAAAGTTCTATGTGGACCGGCCTTAAGCCTCTGTGCTTTTATAAGTCGCTTCTGAATCCAAACAAAATTATTTAAGCACTACTTGCACTACTTATATAAAAATAGCTAATTTTTCGCAGCGCTATTTTCGAATATGAGCATTTAGTTTTATTATTAATAGTTTGCGAAAAAATTTTAAATAGGCTATAATCACTGAATTAATGGCAAAAATTAAATCAAAGAAAGCTAGATTGTGGTAATTTTTAATCGAACTAACTACGCTATTGCCTAACAGAAAAAAGGCAACATTCACAAAATCCTTTCCCGGATGGTCACATACATATGTACATATATCTATACTATCAATTCTTACATAGTTACTACAAACAACTGAAATACTTAGTCGATACTAATCTCTTGTATGAGAATATATGTATGTATTGTACGTACATATACATATCCATATATAATATTACATCAATTTCACACTTTTACAGAAAAATTCTACTAAATATAGTCCATAATGTTGTAATTAAAATAGCTAACAACAAAACCTGGGTCAGTCTGTGTATGATCTTTAACCTGTAGAAATATAGTGTTTATTTTTATTTTATAAAAATCTAATATGTACATAAATGCACCTATGTAAATTCTACTTGCCTTTTGAACTTTTTCTGAGCTTCCGGAATAGTTTCCGGTCCCTCTTTGCCCAAATGCAGACGCAATCCTTGTAAAGTAAATTGTATGTACTCATCCCACTTAATCGAACAAAGGTCAAAATTAAAAATTTCTCTATCTTTCGGTGTTAAAGAACTCCATAATGCCTTTGTATTATCCATGGTAAATGTAAATGAATTGTTTGTGAAATATTCCAAAGCTGCTGATTGCCTGTGTATGGTGCGATAAATTTTCGTCATTCTGAAACGGAAATCATAAATTTTAATGCAACCTTTAAATATAAAATGAGCTTTAAAGTTAAAGGTCACCTCAGAAAACGGCCCTTAAATTTGTAGCTTTTACAATGGCCTTATATACATGCACATCTATTTACACCATTGTATGCTCTGAACTTTAGCAATTCCTGTGGCTGTTTGCAATATTAGACAGCTACAGAACTCATATTTCTTGAAAATGTTTTAACAATTATTTTACAATTAATCGATTAAGAGGATTCTAGAATTTTTGATAATTGAATGGTCGCACAGTGCTTCCCTTCCATTAAAATGTGGACAAAAATAGAATTATGGACGGATCTAAATGAAATAATTATCGAGCTAAATTCAAAATTGCAATTTGTTTTTGGATAACTTTCACACTTTCACTGTAATTGCAGTTTGAACTTGAAAATTTGGGTTCTTGTGGCTTTTACATAGGTATGTACATATAGTTCCTTCTATTTTCAAAAGTGAGGTGCCAAATGACAGGGCTTGGCCTGTAGGTATGCAATAAAGTTTTTTATTTTTCGAAACAGTTGCCACCTGTTGCAGCTCCCCTGCGTCCCGTGCGAACGGCGCGCCACACCACTTCGCGCCGCAATTAACTTATATGATCTCGTTTACGATATTAAATAATCAATAATTATTTATAACCGCATTTTGGCACATTGGCTTGAATGTGCCATCTAATAAATAGTGTCGTCGTTCTCCTTAGCTGCTTTTAAATGATGTCACAAATTGCTGGCGGAGACATGAATACAGTGTAAGAAAATTCCTTTTCTATAATTGTTTCCTTATAGACATTCCGAATTCGTTCAAAACATGCCAATTTAAAACACAGAATTCATTCAGTGATCCTCCGGGGTATTTGGACATGGACTGTTTCTTCAATTTAAATGAAACATGTTTTGCAAGTTCTGGATCATATTAACAAGTTTTCTTCAAATATTTCTCGTATTTATTCCAGCTGACTTTTGTGTTTGGTTTTTCGCATCGTCTTTTTACTATGTATATTCGTAATTTAAATTTCGTTTATAAAATAAATTGGTGGTAGTTCATGATAGTGTGTGGATTAATAGTACCACACTGAGGATTTGGCAATAACCCTTTTTTATCTATTAAAAAACAAGACTTACGGGGCAATGTTTATTTTAAAAACAAAATTTTTTTATGAGTCGACATACTTTAAGAATTGTTGACGCTATTTCCATTTGAATAAGGAAATAGCTTCAATGACTTTATTTCCAAATTTTTGTTGACTTTATTTCGCTTTTGAAAAGATAATAATGTCAATTGACTTTGTTTCGCACTAGGGTGGGAAATGAAGTCAATTGAGCTTATTTCCGTTGATCTTGTTACCATTTATTTATTTCATACGGGACGCCAAATGTTGTGTATTTCTTTTAATGTCCCTTTTTTGTCCCGTATTCGGTATTTTGGCGCCTGAATCCTCATAAAAATGATATGCCTCATAAAATGATATGCAAATTTTTAAAGAAATTTCACTAGTATTTAGCCTTTCAACGTTTTTTTTCAACGCATTTGGCGTTGAATATTCTGTTTCGCAAAGCATATTTAACAGCTAGCAGCAGTAGAGCAGCTGATTTTACTTTTTTCAGCATTTTCGCCTTTAAATTGTCAATTTTAAGCGACTTCCAAAAAAGGAAGAGGTTAGGTATCAGTGTTCGTTGGAATATTTTTTTTTTATCTACGTTACCGCATAACTTTGCACCACGTCCACGTTCATTGGAAAGGTGGTACCTCAGGGGTGATCCCGTACTAATTGTTTAGATCCGATAATTGAATCGTGAAGAAATTAACGATAATCTTAAATTTTTAGAAGAGAATTGAAGTCGTTTTTGTTGCTTGCTTAAAAATTACTTGTTGTCTAAATTCTTCTCTAAAATTTCAAACTTTGTTTAAGTATATGGATTCCAAAAGCAGCCAGGAAATGCACCCAGCTTGCTGTTTTCCCCGGGTTCAATTACTTGTCCAATGTGCCGTGGTGTGGAGGCAATTTTCAAATTTTGTGAAGGGAGAATATATGTATTCACTAGGCAAAACTACGGCGAAAAACATTTTGCTGATTGTATGAGGGATTGCATCTTCAGCATGAGAAACTCCAAATAAGGCTACAATGAGAATGTTGTAAAAGTAAATAAGTTCTCAAAGATGGAAGGGAAGTGGAACCATTCGAAGGTTCCCTTTTGTAATTCAGCTCGTTCCAGATGCTACTCACTGCATTGTGCTTGGCCGATATCCGGGTCCGAAAATAAACCGTTGGATACTACTTCTACGTGCTTCTAAAGTAGTCGGATGTTTTTATCATGTTTTCTTGCGTATTAATGTTTGTAACAAATTTTGCAGATAAAAATCCCGAGCACAAACTATAAATTTATGGAAAAATATTCGACAAATATGTGGTGTTACAACTGAATATTTATGTGCTGATTTCCCAAAAGATCGAATTGAAAAATATATGATAAATAACGATGCTGCTTCAGGGCTAATAAATCTAGGAACATTGAAAAAGGTGTTAATTCCTCTACCTTTTGTGGAAAAAAGCAAAAAAAAACTTTTGTCCAGTATTCAGCTGCAATAAATATGGTCAACGTATGCATAGTGGAAAATGTTCAATTCAAATACGCCCATATTAAGATGAAGCATTTTGCACTTCACGGATGCTGTTTCATAATTAAGATAAAAACAAACAAAAATTTTTAATTTTCATGTTTCCTGCAATTGAACTCGAACCCTGACCCTTTGGAATATTTCCATTATACATACATACACTAATTTTGAACACGTTTTCATTTGATTTAAATAAGTTTTTATTCGCGAAAGGGTGATCACTATTATTATTAGAGCAACAGAAGCCAAATCAACAATTTTGAGAATATTTGTCTGTCTGTATGTATGTACGTTTGTACGCACATCACTCGAAAAATGATGCATGGAATAGAAAGCAGTTTTCACCGATGCATTTCCTAAGGTCGAACTTAAAATATAGGAAAAAATAACACTGTGAGACAAATGGTAGGGGTCAGTGATCGGGAAGGGTTCAAACTACCGGGGAAAGTTATATCGGTAAAAAGAAGTTATACGTGTCCCGGCGTTTCGCTGGGTCACGTCTAGGAATGGAGATATATATATAACTATCATATAGGGGAAATTGTCACCTTTGGTGGTCTTTTTTTGACATAACTCGAGAACCACTAGTCCGATTTTGCTCAAACAAATTTAAAAAAATTAAAAATTACAATTCCTTTTATCTGTTCACGTCGGGACACGTATAACGTGTTTTTGACCGATATAACATTTCCCGTTGGTTTCATCCCATCCCGATTTTGACTGTCGCATGGTGTAATTAGAGTGTTGCCGCCTATTTAAAAATTGCAGTTTAAGTAAATTAATACAATAACGTAAATATTGCAGTATGGCTGCCAAAAGAAATTGACCTTTTTCTAAGGTTTAAAGTCGAAAATATATAATAAGAGACAACGCGTTATAATTGTAGCGAGTGTGAACATCAGCAGCGTGCCTTCTCTTTTGCCCAAATACGTTATTTGATTGGATAAAAAGAGAAGGGACGCTCCTGATGTTCATACTCGCTACAATTTTAACGTGTTGTCTGTCCATATAGATTAACATTATTTCATAAGATAAATTAAATATTGCAAAATGGGTATCCAACTAAAGAATCCAGCTATAAGAGAATAAATAAAATGTCGAGATTATGTAAATACCTTCGCAAATATATTAACTAACATGCTTGTTCAAAAACAAATAATAGGTATATTTCATGAATCGAAATTTTGTTTGATAATGTCACAAATATTTAGTTTTTTTTTATGAATGAAGTCATAATAATTTTGTGAGGGAGTAAAAAGAGTTTTAGAAGGGACCCAACTTGAGGTTTAGTTGAGAACTAAGGTATTTCTCAAATGTCCGACGTTGCTTCTCAACAGTACCTCAAGTGAAGGATCATAGCATTCTCAACCAAAAAGGGCATTTTTCTTTGTATGAAAATAGGACTGTTTCTCAAGTTGAGAAAATGTTAGTTCTCAATTGGAGCTCCAATGTGATTCTCCATTTAATATCAAACATATCATTGAAATACTGAAATTGAAATAGTAAAATAACTTATACCTTTTTGATTGAAACGACATGAGTACATAGATGAATTTAAATATTAAATTTTTTTTTATAACTTTTTTTTTAATCAATATCGTATTACAATAATTAACTTCACAGTATACAGTCCGACAGTGTTAATTGATTCACTTCGCGTTTTATTTACTTTTTGTTGGTAATTTTCCTTTTTATGTATCCTTAGTTTTTTACTTGATAATTAAAAACTCGTTTCTCTGTCACTTTTTATATATCTGCGCTTCGGTTAGAGATGAGTTGGAGAATGATGTTGGATATCAACTTGAGAACTACGAATTTCTCCAATCATTTTTGAATACCGGTTTATGTTAATAAAACTCAGTAATTTTAAGTATCTATTCCACAATTATTCATTATTCATTATTAATAAATTTTGAATAATTTAATAAAATTGGACTTTACAAAATATATAATAAAAACGTTCAACTTAAAACTGTATTTACAGTGAAACCACAAATTGCATTTTTGGATTCAGCATCAAATTAAATTTCTTTTAAATCCTCCCATAATTCTATGAAACAGTTTTCCGATCGAAGAAATATTTGTTTTCAAGAATTCTACACCATTTCGCAAAAGCGTTTTTTTCACATAAAAAATACATGGAAAACTTCATGGGGTTTGGTGCAGTTCTAAATATAATATTTTTTTTTTAATAAAAAATACGCATATATTTTTTTCCATTTAGAAAAATCTTAGCGGGTGAGAGCTTAACTTTTTAAACTGTTTTCCTCGCATATATTTTTGCACCATCCTAATGTACTCGTACATACATGTCTATGAAAACGAGAAGTACGATCATAACAATCTAGAAGTACTTACCTCTTTTTCTTTCCCTTTAACACCAAAAGGAAATCAAGTATATAGCCAGGTATTGTGTGATAAAAGACAGCCAGCAAAGAATACAACCACCTTTGACTAACGGTTGTCGTAAATGGATACCAAATCATTTTACTAAGAGGAACCTTATAGCCGTGCTCAGTAACAGCATCCAAGTATCCTTTCCAAAGCAGTGGATTCTCGTCATCATTACAATAGTTGTAAATTGGCGGAGCCATTTCTATGCTGGGGTTTCAAATTGATTTATTAAGAAAACCATATTAACTATTCCAATTTCTTTATGATAACTCACCATTTGTTTGTAGAGGATTTAGCAGTCTCCCAACCAATAGCTATCATTAAGCTGGCGCAATAATCTGCCGGCACCACATGTGCCCGATTTTGCGATTTCATATGCATCACACGTAGCACGCCACGACCACAAGCGTAAAGCGCCGCCGAAGGTCCGCCTAAATTGCCAATCCATCCGGTAAGTGGCTCAGTATATGTCTGAATAACTGAAAATGAGAGCCAATGTGAATTGAGTCCTTATAAAATCCAAATTCTAACCTATGGCTGGTCGAAATACGCTGATTGGAAGTGAACGACCCTCATTTAAAACCGCCTCTTCAGCTAAAGATTTGGTAAATGTGTATGTGTTTTTATATTTTTCGCATAGTACGCTTGCAAGCTTATTTGTTGTCTCAACACCCAAAGTGTCGGCCAATTCACACATCTTCACAGAACCAATACCTATTTTGTGGGCATAATATTTCTCGTCGATGAAATTAACTACACAATTGGCGAACGCCGATGAGACATGCACAAAAGCCTAAAACCAGACACATACAATCTAAAATATGACAAATGCGAAATTTTTAAAATTCAGTCAAACCTCCAGCTGTTTCATTTCTTTGGCTAGTCGAATTAATTCCAATGTGGCCCGCACATTTATGGTTAAGGCTCTGCATAGCGGCTCATCGAATCGCACAGTGGCTGCCAGATGTATGACCACATTCACTTCGTCGATCAATACTTGACGATCTTCCGCTGATATGCCAAGATTGGCGAGATTACAGTCCCCTAAGATCGCTGTGACACGCTCGATTGGCCTATCACAAGTCTTTCTTAATCTATCAAAGAGCTGAAATAAAAAAGAAAAGTTTTCAAAAAGAAAAGCTATTTTGACTGCATTGAGTTACCGCACTCTGACATAGCTTCTGTAAGCGATCTTCCGCACTTTTACCGCCTTTGGGGCGAAGCAACAAGTAAATTCGTTTAACTTCAGTAACACGTAGCAGTTTTTCAACCAGAACTAAAAAATGAACGAAAATTCTTTGTGAATTCTTAAAAAGTGGAGAATTGAAAAAGATACTGCTGTAATCATAGTTGAATGGAGAATTTATGGACGAAATATTAAATAAATGCCACATTGTTAGGGAAATATTTGGGAATTGGGAATTGGTAGTATGGAATAGTGAGTAAATGCCACATTGTTAGGGATAAAATATAAATGACTGTATTTCGGAATGGGAGAATCTGCTGTTTTGAATGGGCTATAGTCTTTTCTGACGATCTTAGTACCTGATAATAAAAAGATAGTTCCATTTTAAAATCTTATCTTAATTCATGGAGTTTTAGATTTCTTTAGCAATTATGGTTATAAAAACACATTAGAGAACTCTTCTTTTCGTGTTAACTTTCATTTTAGAGCTGGAAAACTATCGATGGCACTATCGATAGTATCAATGGTTTCTGACTATCGAAAACATCGATGGTTTCACTCACAATGTATGTAGTTCAGTGACATCTATATATTAATATGCTAACATGAATTTTGTCCGCATTCGTTTAGAGATTCTACCGCACCGATTTCAAAACCTAGAACACCATTGGAAAGGCATTTTGCGTAGATGAGCAGAGTTTTTATGGTTTCAAAATTGGTTGAAAATTACGGCCAAAACCGTCGGTTAAAGGTTTCCGTATTTGTGTATAGATTTTGCTGCAACATGTTCAATTTGACATGTTGCGCATGTTGTTGCACTTCGCATTTGAAATTAAGCTTTGAAATAAAGATAAATATAAAGATGACGAAGTAACTATAAGGTAAAGGTGAAGGGAAATATGCAAAAATAAAGATAAATATGAGGATAATATAATTGATATAATAATCGATATAATAATCGATATACTAATCGATATTGTTATAGATTTAATAATGGATACTTCTATCAATACAACCTATATTGTTATCGATAAAATAATCGATATTGTTATCGATAATGTTATAAATATTGTTATCGGTGTAATAATAGATATTGTTGTCGATATATTTAGTAATAAATAAATCGATTTTGGAATCGTTATATTTTGCGATATATTTATTGATATTTTATTGGTATATTTATCGACAAAGTTATCGATTTAATATTCGACACATGACATGTGATCGCATTATATAATATCACATCACATCATATGATATGATATGGCATCACATGACATGACATCACATAATATGATATCACATAATACGATATCACATGGCATGACATCACATGATAAGACATCATATTATATAACATCATATGGTATGACATGATATAATATAGATGTCATATCACATGATTTGACATCACACTACATGGAAAAATATTTGTTTCTGTATCGATTAACATGGGTACTGAAAGAATGCGCATTATTTTCTTTCAAAATTAAATTGTAAAAAACTAATAACAAGCTATGGCCAGGGATCGGACTGGAAAAAAAAAAATTGTGTGGTCGAATCTGGAAAAAAATGTGGTAGATTTAAAAAAAAATGTGGTTTTGGATCAAACGCTGTACAAAAATTAAAAATATTCTGCAAGGTTTCACCTAAATTGCAAAAATTTTAATTAGAATAAAAAAAAAATTAATTTTAGTACAGTGAAACCCGCTTAAGTTTAATTTTTGGACTGCCTTAATCAAAACTATCGATAGTGTCGACATTTTCGATAGTATCGATGGTTGTGACTATCGACTATCGGAACTATCGCTGGCCACGACAATGGCAATTGAAGTTTGGAATGCAACGACGATAAATTTTCTCTAAAGTCTCGAAGAATATTTCTTATCTCATTTTAAAATATATAACTGCATCTATAACTAAAAATCGTCAAATGGCGCTTACGAAAATATTCAGTATTTTGTTTTGTATATTTAATATAACAGCTTTTTATTATTACATGACATGGTTTTGTTTTTGCTAATACTTAGTGACATACATACATATATCCGTTAGGGCAAAATACGTTGAACAAATATATGGTAGTTTGGGAAGATTTTCTTCATTGATGGTTCTAACCACTTACATACATATTGGGCGCGTTTCTAAGGCGTAGCTGTTGCTAAACTGTTGAGTGTTTGATTCAGAAACGCACAGTTGAGTAGTTCCGCTCAGCTCAACGGTTGGCAACTTTACGCCATATTTTCCATCCTAAAATTATTTCGCTACATGAAGTCAACAATTTATATATGTAAGTCAAAAATGATGTTTCCCTTCCGAGAGTTTTCATAGAAAATTCAAATAAAAAAATAATTTGTCTGTAAATTGCGGGCGAAATTGGTTGTTAATAAAATAAAATGCACGTGCAAATACATATATTAAAAATAAAATAAGAAAAACTCCATTATAAATCCCGTGCTATCCATGTTTTTGGCTTAATATTTATTTTTTTATTTTTGTGCTGTTTTATTTAATTTTGCTTGTTTACAAATGTTTTGGCAGTTAATGTATCATCCCGTTTCTAAGACGGAACTGTTGAACTCAACACTTGACAGCATTTCAGTAACAGTTGCGTCTTAGAAACGCGCCCATTTTTAACCGACTTCCAAAAAAGGAGGAGGTCATCAGTTCGTCGTAGGTGGTCTCATACTAATTTGGTTAAGATCCGATTAGTGGGTCATGAGATATATATATATATATATTTTTTTTTGTATATGAGAGTTGAAGTTGGTTGTTTTTTTGCTAAAAATTACTTGTCAATAAAAGGGAGCGTTAGAAACTTCAATCTGGAATCAAACAAATGTACAGAATTTGGCAGCTACCAAACGCGCAACTCATTTTTTCTTTTTATTGTTTAAAATCTGATGAATTTTTTCTTTGTTTGTATGTACATACGACTACATATGTACACATGCATATCTTTTGTTTGAAAATTTTCAAAAGGCAGTAAAAAGTAATAACTTATTTACTGTAGCTGGTATCTTGATTTCGGTGAGAATATCATAATGCCAACAAAAGTCAAATGGCTAACATGATGACCAAAATCGTTGAGTGAAACTACCTTTCACCAAACAAAAAAAAATATAAAGAATCACTGGGATTTCTTGTGACTAAAAACTTGCACCGAATTATATTGCATTTGAAAGGGGACAAACAAAATCTGAGTTTAATTTTTCCATATAAAAAATACAGATTTTGCCTGTCTGTTTCAAGTGCATGGAAGTGTATGTATGTAATTTATTAATTTTTTATAAATTTTCAAAGAATTGAAAATTTCAATTGAACACTGTTACATAATGTGGATCACGATGATAGTACTATCGATACTATCGATGTTTTCAATTATCGCTTCGAAAACTACCGAGTGGCGGCACTATCGATAGTATCTACGGTTGCCCTTTTGGCCGAAATGTACCATTTATGGTACACTTTTCCCAGTTTGGTACGCAGGTATGCAACTTTCAGAATTGGTACATTTTTGAATCTGCCAAATGAGAAAATGATTACTTACCTCATATACCTATTTAATGTTCAAGCCTATGTGTGAAGCCAATGACCATATCAATCAGGCGAATCTGCTTTTACGGCAACACATTGTCTAACACAGGTAATTGAAAAGGCATTGCTGTATAAGCAAATAGCCCTTTACGGGTTCATTGACATTCAAGCAAAATCCAAGGCCATGACAAGCCATGAAGATATTCCTAATGTAATAACTGCATGGAACATAAGCATGTTGAATCCAGAACTATAATAGCAGAACAAAGAGACGTCAGGCATGCGATCATGGAAAAGCAAGCATTTTACGTAAGCTACTCATCTTCGTGGTGGGCTACAATGAAGACAACATTGCCTCTAGATTGCAGGGAGTCTGACAGGGGTCAACTGAAAGTCTTATCTCATAGCTGTTAACAACTAGGCTCTCAGAGGCATTGACGTTTTGGGCATTCAATACAGTGACAAAACCGATTACTAAGTACAGTCCAGGAGGCTAAAACTTAAGCAGCGATCTGTCTGCGTAACCATTATAGGAGCCATGCGCACCGTCCCTACGGAAGCACTGTAATCATCACATACTATACTAATTGACAATGAGGCTTGCTGAAGCGATTTGTATCGCAGCAACTTCACGGTGGCCTTGAACCAGATTCAACTGAATCGGTCTGGAATGATGGAATTTCCGACTAGACTATTTAGGGGGGTGTTCCAGTGTTAGAATATGTCAAGTTAAAAATCATGGCAAGTGCCGATTTTAAAAACGGTAACCTTTTCGATTTTCAGGTTAGGTTTTCGATAAGGTTCTTGATGAATAAGTATATATATTTACATATATACAAGTCGATTGTATACATATTTATACATATATGTGCAGGCCCGAGTATAGGGTGGGGCTGTTTCCCAACGAGCCCGGATTTTTCCTTAAATTTAGTCGGAAGATAAAAATTATAAAATTTTGTAAAATATGATTATTTAATATACACATAGCTTTTATAATATCCAATAAATGCGAAAGCGCATGCCTAGATACGCATGCAAGTGTAGTAAGGTCATTTCCGTGCAAGTCAAAACAATCGCCAATCTGGCCTAATGTGAAACATAGAAAGGTTCCGAAGTCAACACGTGTTGCCTGAATGTTGTCATCGTAATGATTTTCCCATGGTTCATCAAACATTTTGAGATAAAAACTCGAAAGAAGAAAGTGGTCAAAAATTCAAAGTATAAATTTTTTATATAATGAAACTAGTTCATATTTTTTTCCGTTTTTACTCGTATAATAAACATTTGTAAAACAAATAGGTTTTTGGATTATTTTTCGGTTTTTGTCTTTTATAAGTGCCTTCTTTTGCGTTTTTAACCGACTTCCAAAAAAGGAGGAGGTTATCAGTTCGTCGGAATATTTTTTTTTTTATGTATGTTACCGCATAACTTTGGACCACGTCAACCGATTTCGATATTTCTTATTAAGGTAGTGACTCAGAGGTGGTCCCATACTAATCTGGTTTAGATCCGATCATTGGATCATGAGATATATATATATATATTGAAGTCGGTTTTTTTTTGCTAAAAATTACTTGTTTGCGATTTCAAAAGTACTGACGTCAAAAACTGCCTTAACTAGCAGCTGTTCACTTGGTGTCAAATATATCATAAAACCTGATGAAATGTAGATATCGCAGTACATGTCAAAGACTGTCGTTAAATTTTGGTGTCAGGTGATTGACACTCCATTTTTCATCACTGATGTCAAATGTGAAATAAATTTTTGGCATATGTAAGTAGAAAAACATTTTGGACAATCCAAAAATGTGGCTCGATAGAACTCTTTATGTCCTTTTATCTATTTTGTTCCTTGTTTACTTAAAGATCCCCTTGCCGTTAAATGTAGGGCTTTTTTATTCGTTAAATTCTTTAAATGTAAGACTTTTGCTTTTGTAAAGCAAGATAAATAAATAAAATCACATTATTCGTCCCAAAAAATTAGTTTCAATATGCTACACTTGCTAAATTTTAGGATTTTTTTCTGGTATTTTTTTTGAGATACTATTTATTTAAAAAAAAAAATACTTATTTGGATTTATTTTTGGTTGTGAAGCTAAGGGGAACAATATTGTAAGTTAGTATCTTTAATCTAAGTTCAACTAAATCTCTTTTTCAATTTGAGTTATCATTCTTACTAACAAACATTTAAATTTTTATTAAAACAAATTTGTTTGAAAGTTCGAAAAAATTCTAATTAAATCGAATTTACTCCACCAAATTTCGAATCGAATAATCGAATGGTTGGGCAATGTTCGAAATTCGGAAAAAATTGAATTTCAGCGCCCCACTACCCATCCCTAGCCTTTACGCATTGGGGACGGTGAGTACCGCAGACAATGGAACGATGAGCTTTACAACGACATGGGAATAATGCAGCGAATCAGATGTCGAAGATGGCATATCGTTCCAATCGGCCGAAACGTCCCAGCTCTGAAAGTACTCAACTCGGAACCCGCTGCTGGTAGAAGAGGACGAGGAAGGCCTCCTCTGTGTTGGAGAGGCCAGGTGGAGAAGGACTTGGCTTCACTTGGCATTTTCAATTGGCGTCAGTTGCTTTGCTGAACTCAGACGAAATCGGTTAAGTTGTTAGGCACGGTGCACATTAGAGCGATACGATACGCGATGGGATAAGCGATACGATATGAAAGTGACAACAACATGCTGAGGACGTGGGAATCGGTAAGAAGCGATGAAAACTGTGCACACTTGCACGACAGCGATACTGCGGCGACATAATAGCTCTGATCCAGTACTCCATGAGCTTACACGTTCTTACACGAACTTGAAGGAAGTTACAGGAAAAATGATCCCGTACTCCAAAATCCTGTAAATGAGAGTGATTTTTGGAGAGTTGTGTATGGAATGAAGTGGCAAAATTTTACCCGAACTTTTTCTTCTTGCAAAATCATGAAAAGTATCAAGCGATCACTGGTTGACGTTTCCACAGGAAAAATGCTTTCTTTGTTCCCGTACTTTTTGTTGTTACTCACTTTTTACTCTCACTTCAGAGAGTAATTTTGCTGTTTGACATTTTTACAGGATTTTACATGAAAAGTATTGGATCAGAGCTAATATCGCTTGTGTATCGGCCAATCGGCACGGTTTACTATCACACCAGTGTTGCCAGAACTTTTTGGGCCGACCGGGTAAATTGGCCAAAAATAACGGCAAAAACGGCTAAAATGTTTCAGCTAAAATTAACATGACTAATAAATTCATTCAATTATTTTTAGTCAACAAAAGAAAATGTCGTTACACGTGATTAATTAAAGCTCTACATCAGAACTTAGTTTTGTATTACTTACATAAATATAAAAAATAGATCAATTACAAACTTATGGGGCTTTTTTCTATTGAAAAATTTTGCCTTCTTATGTTGTAACATTTGCACTAGCTTACTTTTCGTCCTGCAAAATGGCGATATTAGTAGAAAGTATTGCACTTTTGCTTATTCGGAGGGCAATATCTTCAGAAATTAACACGTAAAGCTGTCAAAAGGATGAGAGTAATAGGGCAACATTATTTCGAGAAAAAAAAAAAGCTAGTAATTTATATTGAACAAGCCGGTCGCCGAATTTTTTCCGGATGTTTGCTTTCACAACTGGCTAAATCTAGCCGGAAAACGGCTAAAATGGCTACACTGCGCATATAGTATCACGTGTCGTATCACTCTAATGTACACCGTGCCTTACAGCGGCAAATAAGCAGAAGAAGGAAAACGAGGTCGCCAAAAAATCTAGTTCTGCACCTTCTTTTTAATCCATATTCTTTGGTGCTATTAAATTTCTACCTCACTGCATTGGAGCGAGTGTTTTTTTTAGAAAATCGACGTAAGAGATGATTACTTTAAAGGATAATTATTGCCACTTTTGTCATGCTTTAAGGCTTAGAATTAATGTATGGACTTGTTTGAGGACTAGAGGATCACATGTGATATTATTTCAGTGTGCAAAAAATATATATGTAAATATTTTGAAAACGCACTGATCCCATTTTAATGCGTTATCTTTAATTCACTATCAGTAATTCATCATATTGCTTTCCTTGAAGGTTTACACTTCAAATGCTTTACATAATTGTTGTCAAATAACATCAAAAGTATAATATAACACAAGGAACCGAGCAGAACTTTGCTTCAATATATATTTCGGATACGCACTGGATACGGTTGGTTAAATCTGGGATTTTTTTCATTTCAGTTTCGTAGAATCATTAATTGACACAAGTGACAATTGATTATAAAAAATTGCATTTTCAATCCACACAAAACATTTAAATATGCATTTCCTTTTTAATGCATTCATTAACACTTTTCACATAGGCGCTGATATACGCTTAGGCTAGTCCTTTTTTACCTATCCCCATAAATCCGGTGCCTCCTGTCACAAAAACGGTCTTATTCCGATAAAAGTTTTGTATTTGCGATGTCATTTTGGTCAGTTGGTCAGCCACTTGCTTCCTACTTTTGTCCTATGCGTTCCAATTAAACCCGATTCACGGCTACTAAGTCAACTGAGGGCTAAAGAAGAGTCAACAGTCTGTTTTTATAGTTTCTAAACTTATGTATAAGTATTGATTAGCTTTTGCATAATTCTTCCGCGTTAGTGCGTTGCAATTTTGCATAACAAAATAGAATGAGGTTTTGTAACAGAAATGCTATAAGTGCAAAATTTAAGTAATCTGTTGAAGAAAAGAACCGACTGACTGGGAAGCTAAAATATGCGCGTAAAATTAATTTTTTCCTTTAATTTACAGTTTAATTATTATTTGGGTGTTTAATTGAGATAGGAAAATATTTGTTCATATAAATACATAATTTAAAGTCGATTGTATGAGGAATTTACGGACGAAATATTTCGTTACTTATTAAATAATTATTATTGTTATTATCACTACCCATATTTATTTAATTTAATTCTTTTTAAATTATTTAGTCGATTTTATTTGTAAAATTAGTTTTCGTCTTTGTAAAAAAAACTTAAATATTTAGCCATATATTCTTTTACCATGTTTTACGCAATATTTTTTCTCAGTAGATCATAAATAAAGGATTTTATGGAAACGTGTCTAATAAGTACCTAAAATTTTCTAAAAAAAAGATTTTCAATGTTGTTTGGTGTTAAGACAAAAAAAAAAACGTAAAACGTAAAACGGCAAATATCTTAATGTTAACAGGCTACAAAAAAGGTCAAAATTAAGTCGAAAACGTCAACCTAGCACCTTTATAATAAAATACTAAAATTCTTTTAAAAGGCCTGAATTTTTCGCGTAGGAAAATATCTATCTGATGGTCTCCTCTACATGAAAAAATTAATAGTCAAGATCGAGTTATCTCATTTGTCATACAAATAGTTTTATTTTTTTTATACTAACGCTGTGGCCATATTTACATACATGTGTACCAAAATGCTCAGAATGTAAAGAGGAATCGATTAAATGGTGTGTCTGTCCGTCCGTTCGTGTAAACGATAACTCGAGCGAAAATTGAGATATGTCAATTAAATTCATTTTGTATAAACATTTTCTTTATAAATTTGTACTTATTATTTTATCTGCAGGTTTATATAATTCCCAGTGCTGTTGCTGGTTAGTTGCACTCAACTGTATATACATAATATCCCAGCTAGCAAAGAAACTTTCGCTTTGCATTTTGCGTATTCGTAAAAGGCTCGTAAACGATCACTTTCGCAAATTTTTCATCCACAATTAGCATTCAAAGAAAAAATTTAATCAGAAAATTTACAAAAGGGGTATCAGTTTAATAAGCGTTTACTGCATCCGAAAAACGTTCGGAAATAGAATCAGTAACAATTGAAATATTCGGCTTTCACTTCCGAGTGAATTTCAACCCCTGCCAATTTGAATTCAAAGCGAGTTTGATTGAAATTCACTCGAAAGTGAATTGCAGAACCTGCCTGATTGTTTCATTTTCGATTACCGTCAAAGAAATTTCGTCGGCTGGGATGCATTTAATACATATATCTTTGCATGTGTAAAAGCTTACCTTATATGAATATTCATTCATTCAGGTATGTATATGTATATCGCATACTGTTTGCACGCCACAAGCAGAAGTCTTTGTGCAGTAATGCACTGAATAATCCTTACGGAATGTATTTCTATATTACATACAATGGGCGAATACATTATAGAGACAGCGCTATCAAAATGCGCCTAGTAAGTTTCTACATACTTGGACTTCACAGCCTACAAGTAATGTAACCAAAGGTCGAAGAAAATATTATTATTTACTGTTGTTTTTGCACAAAACTGGCAAAAAGCTCAAAACAATTGTTGGTTGGCAGAAAAATAATATGACATCATTTATCCTCATGTTGGGGAAAAAATGCTCTATGATTATACGTTTCGATTGCAAAGTGCTTTCCTGGATTCGAATATGATCACGATCATCGGCTATCAACTTCCGTTGAGTTGAAGGTCGGAATTTAAATTTTTTACGTTATATATAATCCCATTTCACAAATTTTATTGAGAATACGATAAGCAGCAAGACTTTTAGCTACATGCTGTCATAATTAAAGGTTATACAGCCCTATGATTTTAAATGAGTGTCTACTCAAGCGATCAAGACGTAAATACGAATAATCCAAAATTCACTGAAAATACAAGTATCAGGATTTTTCAAATGTATCACATTCATATTGAATCCAATAAAAAACAAAAAATTAAAAAAGTGGAAATATCTTTTTGTTGTACACTGCTTCTTAAAAATATTTAAAATATTCGGCTTAGGTTTTTAGCTAAAGGATAAGTATGCCAACAAACACCAAAAAAAAATATTTATTCAACCCTGGAAAAATTGTTTGCTCTCAATTTGATTTCCAACATAATTCGCCAACTCATCTCTAACCTGATATCCAAGATATTTCTGCATAAATTATTAGTTCTCGACATCATTCTCCAATTCATTTCTAATCTTGAACTTGAGAAAAACAAATTTCTTCAACATGGCAGCACTGCTTCTAATCTACATCTACATATATATAAATACGCCACAAGAAAATTTCGAAATCCGTTTTTGAGAGCACTATATATTAACCCCGATTCATAGGGTGCGTGACATCTGACATATAGACTAAAATGTAAAAGCACTATATCTCTAAAACCAATTATGCGGGTGAACTAAAACTTAGCATAGATTGTAAATACCCTACTTACGATGAAAAATTGTAGGTACTGGGAAAGTGGGCCTGGCACTTCCCATACAATCTGAAATTCTCATATCGCTCTGGAACCACTTATTTTAAGGTAATGGAATTTTATACACCTACATTTATACACATATAAAATCGCAAACATCATTCAACTGGGAACCATTTTCTCCCATATTTTAAAATCGCATTGACTGATTGTTGTTTTGTGCAAACGTTTTTAGAAGGATCGGTATGCTTGTCTTCCGATAGGTGGCGCAGGGATTGAGATCTCTCTTACAAAATCTTATTTATAATCAGATTTGTTTCACTTTTGGACCACATATTAGTAACATAAACTTTGGTAGCCCAATCGTGTGATGAAAATATATTGGGCTCTGGCCCAGTCTTGATAAAAGCCCGTGTGAAGCCGCCGTTATAGAAGGAAATATTATTTTTTTTTTTACCTTCAATATACATTCTCAAGAGTTAACGATTCTAATGAAGATGGGTTTATGTGGATGTGAACAATTTAGTTTTTAACCTCCAAGACAAATATAATGGAAAAACTTTCCAGCCAGCAAGAAAAAAAGGTACCTTTTACGAACATTATGTTCGACGAAGGATTCTCGATCGGCGAAAAGTTAGAAAAAGGCCTGCAAACAAAAAACAATAGATACAAGAGGTAGAAAGAGAAACGAATGTAAAATAAAAGCTAAATGAATAATGAATGAATAAAAGGGAAACATTAAAACCCTTGAATCGTATAGTGAATTATTATAATCTACATATGCATGTAGGTATATACTAAATACAGTCAGCCTCAAAAGCATGCTACCCTTACATTTGACAATTTCATTAATTTAAATTTTCATACAAAATTTTTCTTTTGTTTTTTGTAAAAATATATTTCTTAGAGCAGAAGCTCGGCCAAACACTAACATATGTGTGAGCGCCAGTCTATTATTATTATATTTCTTACAAAAAGTACCGTTGATTGTTGAGAATTTTTTTCGGGGGTGTTGCTCACTTTCTTCTATATACATATATAACATGCATATAACGCATGAACAAAATCTTATTCGTATATGGCAGAAAATGCGCAACACCGTCGACAAAAAAATCTCAAAAATTAGCGGTAATTTTTAGCAACTTGAAACTTGCATACTTAAATTTAAGGGACTACACCACTGCATACAACAATTACAATACAATTTTTCTAAGAAATCGAACTGAAAACTTCAAAATTTCGATGAAAATTTTTATTTGGTATTTTTTGCATTTGCTCGAATTCTATATGAAATTAAAAACATTTATTCTTGTGGTTTTTGCTGTTGAATGAACTTTATTTTTATAAAAAAAAAAGGAAAATATTTTTGCATTGGCCAACGCAAAGCGGCCATTGAATAGTTTTTCTATAAAAATGTTGTCCAAGCTTTAGCAAAAACCATAGAAATAGTCTAAGATCCGACAAAGTCACGACCTTCTTCATCTGTTTAATGGATGAAATCTTTTTTCTATGAAATTTAACTTGTAAATAAACATTTTGCGAGTGGGTTGGCAGAAAAAGTTCTGGCCAGGATATTTTTAATTAAATTTCAAAAATTGTTAGTATTTTTATATTTAAACTCATTTGCTTAATGTACAAATTATATACCAAACTAAAGTACACTCAAAAAAAACTTCTCTTAATTGAAGAAATACAGCAATCAAAATGAAGAAAAAAGGGAACGATATAGTACTAAAGAAATTCTATCCTCTTTGATAGATTACACCCACAGTTCCATATTTTCGTGTACGTTTTTACACATTCCAAAGAAAAATTACTCATTCGGGAGAATTTTTTACTCATTTGGAAGAATTTTCGAAGGAAAGTTTTTCTTTGATCCAGAGATGGATTTTTGGTTCAGTGTATCAAGCCCATAGAATGTAAAAATGTTGGACTTTCTATTTTTTCCTGCCTACCTATCGGATTGGCAGTTATGAACAGGGAGGTAATACTAGTAATTTCCATCATCCTTTCGCGCAAACTTTATATGGAAGAAAATTTAACTTACTGAGTTGCCATCAAACAAAAAAATCGTAGCAGTTTCGCATTAAGAGTTGCATTTTTAGACAAAGTCGCGTATTATAAAACTTTAAAAATCCTATAATGGAATTTCATAATGAACCGAATGGAGCTTTTTTTTTGGAAAGGGTTCCGGTTCGATTTTGGCATTGCTGTTGTTGATATACAGCATTCGAGTCTCTTTTAACCGACTTCAAAAAAAGGACAATGTTATCGATTCGTCGAAATATTTTTTTTTGTATGTATGTTACCGCATAAATTTGGTACACCTTAATTTTTATATGAGAATTAGGTTGTGTTTTTTGCTTAACAATTACTTGTTATTCGTCTCATTTGGTCACAGTATAGTTGTAATCAAATTTGATCAAATGTCAACAGAATGCAATTGGATTCAATAAACTTCTAACACCTTCTTTATTTAGCGGGAGGAAATTTTATAGTTCGTTTATTAACACACATATATGAGAATCTCACATATTACATGCGTCTTCACATCTATTCATTGCAAACAAATGCACATTTTTACAAGGTACCTTTTTATTAAAAAGAAATAAATATCACTTTGTATAAAGCTTATCATTAAGAGTTTGGTACAAAATTAATAAAACACTAGGTAGGCTTTTTAGCTTTTAAATACAAATACCTACGTATCTTAAAAAAATAAATATACTAGTCTTTGAGTTATAAAAAACTGAATATATACACAAACTTTATAAGACATACTAAATATATACACGTGTGCATTTCTAACGACATATTTACATAAAAACTTTATAAAAATATATTTTCGTTTCCTTAAAGTAGATGAAAAGCACGTAGAAATGTCCATGATAACAAAGCGCTAGCACCGCCATAAATTATCAGCTGAACTGCGCGATGCAAAATGAGAAGCCTGCAAATAAATATAGAGTAAAATAGCTTCTTATCCGCACGCTGTTCATACCTTACTTATTATCAAGATTTTATGCTCATGCGCAGTGTTGCCATTTTAGATATTTTCCACCTAGATTTAGCAATTTTTTCGCCGTTCAGCTAGAAAAATTCCAATTCAGCTGATAGCTTTTTTCTGAAAATCTTTGAGCTCTTTCTATCTTATCTTCTAGGTTGCATGTAGGTACTTAATCCACCTACACTGCATGCGCTCTAACTCTGTTTGAGGGGACAAATAATTGATTATACTAACATACTTTTGGCACAGTTTTCTGTTGGCGGCGGGATTGTTGAATATTTGCAAAACTGCAGAAATATGGAAATTATTGAATTTAATAATTTACATTTACTATTCAATAGATATTTCAAGAAAATTGATACTCCCGCACCCCAAGGGAGCATTATCGAGGCAGCAAATATAAACTCAAGCAGCTCAACGGAAGAGCAGCCTCCGTACACAATTTTTCATAATTAAGCAATTGTCAAAAATCTGCTTTTTTAATCAAAAAGTTGTTCACTGAAAATACCTTCTTTTTTGTATCATGGAAATAACCTTTAGTTTGTTATTGGATGTGAGAAATATGTACATATGTAACTATTTTGCTGTTTTTTTTTTGTGAAAAATAAAACATTTAAATACTTTTACCCTTTTGTGCTACAGAACAAAACTGTGGCAGTCATACAAAGCTGAATTAAGGCAGTACAAAAAATTAGTAAAGAAAGCTGAAACGGACTCTTGGCAGTCCTATTGCACATCCATAGAGAACTGTAGGGATTCCGCCAGGCTAAGCAAAGTCTTATCCAAGGAACACACCAACCCCAACCTTATTTAGGGAGAAGACGGTGCATGGACAAGGACAACGGAGGAATCACTAGAGGCCTCATAAACACACCTTTTTCGGCTGCGATCAGAGACCAAAACTATGGCCTCACACTAATGGTCATCAACTCTCAAAAGAGCTACTCGACTCAATCGTAGACAAAAAAAAAATTTTAATTCACTATAAATAATTTCTCCCCGTACAAATCCCCTGGCCCAGATAGTATTATTCCGATAATGCTCCGGAAATTACACGAGCCTATAGTATCCTGACTGTAAAGGGTCTACAAAGCCAGTATCACCTTCACATACATTCCGAAAAGCTGGAAAAGAGTCAAAGTTGACTTCATTCCCAAACCGGGAAGAAGAAATCACGAAAAAGCAAAAGACTTCCGACCGATAAGTCTTAAAGACTTTTAGACCTACATATAAGGCATTTTCTGGGAAATTCCAAACTTTCCAAAGCTCAACTTGCATATATTAAGAGCAGGTCAACTGAAACTGCCCTTCATGAAGCCGTGGGCACCATAGAAAAATCACTCCACTCTTTGTAAACAGTACACTTTGGTGGCCTTCATCGACATAGATGGGGCCTTCAATAACATTACAATCGAAGCAATTGTTCGATCTCTTGTGGAGGTGGAAATATCTGACCCATTGGTTCAGTAACGCTATAGCATTATGCAAACAGAGGCACTCCCCAAGGGGGAGTTCTGTCTCCGCTACTATGGGTGGTAGTACTGAACGACATTCTATTGGATCTCAACAAAGGTGGAGTGAAAGTAGTAGCGTTTGCAGATGATGTAGTGGTGGCGGTATCAGGTCTCTTCCCCTCAACGATTAATGAAATCCTAGATGGAGCTTTACTCCGGCGAAACACCTGAGCTAAAAAAGTGGACTGGGTGTCAACCCTAGCAAGATCGAACTGATGCTGTTCACCAATAAAACAAAAATACCACAATGCAGGCTTCCCTCCCTTAATGCAACGACTCTCACATTGTCCTCCGAGGATAAATACTTGGATGTCGTATTAGACACCAAACTGAGCTGGAAGACAAATATAGAGAGGCGGGTTGAGAAAGCCTACGCAGCTTATTATACATGTAAAAGAATCTTCAGTAGAAACTGGTGATTTAAGCCAAAGCTTGTCCAGCGGATGTACATGGATATCAAACGACCAATAATAACGTACCGTGGCCAGCCCTAGATAAACAATACAACGTCAGGAAAATAGGCAGTACACAAAGAGGAGCTTGTGCAGGTGCTCCAGGAGCCATTAAGTCGTGTCCATCTGATGTGCTTAATGTGCTCCTGCATCAACTGCCCATAGAGCTCCACATCCGCGAAACTTCTGCGTCTTCGGCAGTCAGACCGAAAAAATCAGGCTGATGGCGGGCGCTGCAGCACGGTCATAGTGGTATTCTTCACAAGCTTATCGAATCAGGGAAACAATCACATTATATACCTCCTACTCAGATGACGCTTCTACCAACCAACCAACCCTTTTTTTAGCCCTAAAATTTTTTTGTTTGGCTGATGTTAGCTGTTTTCTTTTGTCCATTTAGCGGCATGGCTGAAAAAATTCTGGCAACACTGCTCATGTGCATACGTACCTGTTCCAGAGCTGTTTGCCCTTTGGTATAGTTTCCGGTTGCTCCTGTCCCAAAAAGCAGCGCAAACCAAGCAACGAATTGTAGAAGTACTCATGCCAATTTATTGCGAGCATATTGAAATTGAATAAGCTTTGATCAATGCTAGAGAGTGAGTGCCACAACTTTATCGTATTTTCCATTGTAAAGGTGAATTTATTTTCGACAAAGTAGTCGAGTACCGCAGTTTGCTTGTGGATTTTACGATATGTGCTCACCATTCTGTAAAAGTGTAAAAATGCATTCTTCTGATTAATAAAACTCTTCACTTTATGTACTTACATTTGCACATACATATGTATGTGGACAACTAAATAGAGCCGGAGACTTGTTCGAGTGAGTTATTTGCAATTTCGTATTGATAAAAAGTTTGAATTGTTTCGAGCTCTATTGCATACTTATTAGACATTAGGTCTAAAACGAATGTGTTGTGCATTTAGTTCTCCACCTATGTATGTTGCTTTTTATATGAACTTGCATGTTTAAGTACCTTCTTTTCTTTCCCATCAACAGGAGTATGAAATCGAAAATATATCCAGGAATTATGTGGTAGATTAATATCAAAATATTATACAATAACTTTGAACTGACGATTATTGCGAAGGGAAACCAAACCATTTTTGTAAGTGGCATGTTAGGTGCATGCTCCTCCAAAGTTCGTCGATAAGTATCCCATTTTAGCATGTTACGTTCATCAGGTACTAGATTGTATATTGGGGGCGGTTGAATAAGCCTGAAAAATTTACTTTTTTTCAAGTACAACTCTCGAGTCATTTGAAATAAATAGTTGATATATTTAAGAGTGAAAATACATATATAGAGAGCTCTTCCTGTTAATTGGGATTCAACTTATTCTTGCGAATTGTTTATAAATTTAAATATGATTTAGATTCAAGTACAATAAAAAATAAAGCAAGCATTTGAACAATTCTAGCCTTTAAGACGTTTATTTAGGCGAGAAAGTACCGAAATTACTCCTTTTTTCATTTTCACTCAAAAAAAATCACAATTATTTTTATTTTAAAAACTTTTGTGAAGTTTTCAAATAGAATGTTCATATTAAAAGCAAAGAGCGCTGGCACTAAATTCAACATATCTGTGAAGTTTCAAGAGTGTGCATTAGGGTCCAAAAACAGTTAAGTCAGAATTGTACTGCTCTCAACCCCTAGGATTGTTCCATATCGAAAAAAAGTATACCCCTATTTTTTTATTTGAAATCAAAAAATATTTAGAGGTCGCTCGAAGCTCTCAAAGTTTTAAAGCTGTATTTTTATATATGAAAAATTAATTTTTTCGTATAAATGGTTAGGAATTCTTGAAAGTCAATATTTTTCGATCGGAAAACTCTGGTTCTCTTCAGGAGACTTTCAATAATAATACCCAATTGTTTATTTAACCATTTTTTAATACTAACAATTTTTTTTTATTGATCGCCCCATTGCATTTTTCCGGGTTTTGTGGGTTTTTGGTGGACCTATAAATTGTTGTTGCAATAAAAAAATAGTTAAATAAACAATTGAGTACTATTATTGGGAATCTCCTGCAGATAAACGGAGTTTTCTGATAGAAAAATATTGATTTTTAACTATTCAATACCATTCTCTAAATATTTTTTGATTTCAAAATAAAAAAATAAGTATATTTTTTCGTTATAGAACAATCCTAGAGCTGAGAGCATAAAATTTCGACTTTACTTTTTCACGTGCATTTTTGGACCACCCTAGTGTGCAACCAAATAAAAATTGCAGCATGCAGAACATCTTTTGTAGCTATTTTGTAACTTTTCAAATTTTACGATTTGTAAAATTAATAATTTTAGGTACTTAAAACTGTTAAAATAAAACGGTGAAATTAAATTACGTTGAGTAAAAGCTGACTATGATTTAAGAAACTAAAACTCCATTTTTACAATTTTTACTGGCACACTCGTAATTCATTCTAAAATTGTTATAAAAGCAATACTGTGTAAAAATCTGCCATGCCAATATTTAATTACTTTTAAATAATATTACTTTTTAGTGGGGGTGTTCGAGTAAACGTGTTAGATAAATGCGTGTGGTGCTACGGGGCGTATACGTTACATACGCAACTACGGGTATAATAGGGGAATTCGCTCTTATGTGTATTCGTTGTATGTTATGTAATCGTAACTGCAAGAGCGTGTGATTTGTTGTTGCTGGCAGTACATCAAATATACATGCAACAACAACCACATGCTCGTCCAGTTACACTTACGCAGGATACAGCGAATACACAGAAGCGCGAATACCACTAATATGTACTTGCATGTATTTTTACTGATTTTAGTTTATATTATTCATTTAAATACTATTTCGCGTTGCAATCTTGTTCCTTATACAAAACTGAAGATAGCGCAGTTTCTAAGATAAGTGTGCCTCTATTTTCGAGCAGAAACACGTTTTCATCGATAAATGTAACAACCCGTGAGATTTGCTCATATACGAAATTTCAGCGAATTTATAGTACGGTTACTACTTTTGGCTGCCGCTTATATGGGGACCTCCCACTGTGTAACGCACTCACTACAACATTATAATTGTACTATAAAGAGTTTGAAATTACTCACAATTTGTTTACGGGTTTCGCCGTATTCCATGCTGAGGCCAACATTAGATTGGCGCACATATCGACAGGCACGAAGTTCGCATTTGCATCCAGATGTACATAGAGAACGCGAAGTATACCATGCGCTACACCGAACAAAATGCTCATGGGTCCATAAAGATTATCCACCCAACCGATCAAGGGTTCACTGTGGGTGGGTATAACTACAATATGCACATACTCATATTAATATTCTGTACTCAATGCTATTAAGTTGTAGAAAAACATACCTATGCCAGGCCGAAATATGCATATCGGTAATTGCTTTGCTTGCGAGAGCACAGCCTCTTCCGCCAAAGCTTTTGTAAAGGTATATGTGTTCGGCGATTTGCCACACCATTCACTTGTCATACGATTGGTTTTCTCTGGGCCCAATAACTCGGCCACTTTGCACATATTTTCAGCTGTTATTTTCAGCTCACTTGTATAATACACTTCATCCACGTGAAAGACTGTGCAATTCGCAAAGGCAGATGAAACGTGGACGAAGGATTCTAGCTTAGACATATTTTTCGCCAATTTTATTAAATCCATGGTAGCGCGCACATTTATAGCTAATGCATTGTAGAGTGGTTCATTAAAGCGGACCGTAGCTGCGCTGTGTATGACTATTTGAGTCCCATCAATTAAAGTTTGGCGATCAGCTGGTGAAATGCCCAAATTGGCCAGAAGGCAGTCACCCAGAATTGGTACTATACGTTTTTTTGCCGATGGTTTTTTACGATTCAACTCGGCAAAAAGCTTTAATTTCAAAACAATTATGTAAATCTTTGTACTTTTGTTTTATTGCTTAATATCAAATTTACCGGATTTTTGAACATAGCATCTATGCGGTCTTCAACACTTTGCTCCTTTTTGGGGCGTATTAGTATGTATATACATTTTACTTCTGTGGCCCGTAATATTTTTTCAATTAAAACTAAAAGCAAAAGATGGAAGAGAAAAATTATACATGTAAATTTGTTTACATTTATGTACGGGTATGTAAGCAGATTAACAAATAAGCAGCGTGCCAATTTGCTGTATACTATGTTTGCGGTTAAGCATGAAGAAAATGGTTAGGCGATACACAACAATTATCTTAATGGGCCTCATGCATTTAATAATTATTTTTTCTTGGCCCCCGAAAAATCCCAAAAAAATGCAATGAAGAATTTCCAAGGATTCTAAACAATTTCTATTTAGATGGAAAACTTTGAGCGCTGTGAACCTTTATATTTTTTATTTAAAAAAAATGTGGGTATATTTTTTCGATTTAGAACAATTCTAAAGGGTGAAGTCGTTAAAATTTTTAATTTACTTTTTCGCATTCATTTTTTCTGGGCCATCCTTATCTACATATTAGCATTTGCCTGCGTATCCGCCCGCATAATACGAGTTTGAATAGAATGTTACACCTGAATCTCAATCTGCTACCAATAACCGATGCTCTTACTATTAAAATATTTCATTTATCTTGCTTTTAAATTGAATCTAACTTTTTGAGCAGGTGGCAACGTTCTTGGAGTGTATTTTTATATAGATACATGCATACCTAAGTCATTATTGAACCCCTTCCTTTTATTTATTAATTACAGGTGACAACTACCTTCAAAAAATATCCTATATGTTAATACCTATTAGGGCTGTTCAGAATTTTGTGGAAATGGTCTTGAATTTGCATTTCGAATTGCATTTGATAATTGTATGCTTGCTACCACGGCACCCGTATGCATTTTATTACTTTGAATTTGCAAATGCACCGAAATATGCAAATGCAAATTCAAATGCACAAGATCCTCAACAGCCCTACTATAACCTATCTGTGTGCAAAGTTGCATGGAAATACGTTCAGCCAATGTAACGGGAAAGAGCGAAAAAAAAATAATAATCGCACTCACTTACAATCTTTCACATTTATACCATCTAAGAGTATGCCGGGACTAGTCTCCATCGAGCACAATTGAGCATTAATTAATCGCAACTAGTCTCATACGGGCATAATTGGAGATCCAGTAGTTGCCAACTCATCTTTAACGGGTACAATGCAGTGACAATATTCGAATTGCATCTACCCTGAAAAAAATTTTGCGACTTTACTCTAAAAAGGGTATTCCGAGATTAAGCTCAATCGGGTACGATTGGGCATTAATTAGTCGCAACTACTCTCTTACGAGTATTACTGGAGATCAATTAGTCGCTCAACAAATTTTTTGTTTTTATTTTTTAAAAGTGGGTAGTCGTTTTTTATACCCATTCGGGAATATAGGGGACCTATTAGTCTCCTCAACGGACATGCTCGAACGAAAGCGTATAACTCATTCCATAAAAAGAGATTAAAAGTGCTATAAGTCGTATGTGCGTTTGCGATTGCGCACGAGTCATCCTGCATTAGTTGTATTTTTTGTAGGGTAGCGCAGGCATTTATTTTTATTTTTTAAAACTAATTAGTCGTTTTTATACCTGTTCAGGTATCATGGAGAACAATTAAACTCTTCGACGTGCTCAAATAAAAGCGAACGGTTCATTCCATTTCGATTTCTGACGAAGGGATTCCGGATTAATCGCATTTTTCCAGGGTACGTAGATAGCTTAGTCATTAAAATTAGTTTTTATAGCCCTTCATTTATAGTCAAAATAATATGGCTATTAGTTTGACTTACTAATCAATTATGTGCTCACTTAAGAGCAATACAATTTTAATTAAAGAACATTTTACAGAATAACTTTATATAACAAGTTTTTAATGTTAGTTTGCCATTAAGAATTAAATTCCAAAAAATTTTCAAATTACTTGGGTAATCAGGATAACTTATTTGAAATTTCAGAACAGTTTAAAAATTATTCCACTCATCACTACACCGAATATTATTCAACAAGCGTCTGTCAATAAAATCATTACTAACGACACGATCACGATCAAGATACCTTTGTTTATCATCGAACAACCCTTAACATCCCTAATATTGACAATTGATATTTTTTCTGCTAGGATTATTAACACATCTAAATGCAAAATTCCAGTCGGCACTTAAATTTCATACTCAATTTTAGGCTTGTAATTTTCACTTTTAGCTGTTTTTAAATGCATCCCTCCAACTTTTTACTAAAAGAGCAGCATATTCTAAATCCTCAACTCTACCAGTTAATCCTGTCTATGAACTCGAGTGAATCGAAAATAAATATAAGCAGAGTCCACGAATTATTTTACAAAAAAAAACTGAATAAAAAGCAGTCCATGTACACAAGTTGTCTTTTTCACAAATTTTCTTCAAATTCGACCAGTCTTCAAAATGCGAAATGCTTCTCCGATATCTTTAAGCCCATATATTAAAGATTACTCAGCACTATTTTCTTTTAATTGGTTAAATTATTCCCAACATTACCTCTCTTCATTTTTATAATAATAACTTAGAACTTGCTCTACTGTAAAGCGGTTACTTATTTTTTATCGTAAAGCACGGGAGTGTTATCACTTTTTATAAAACTTTTAAGAGTTCACCAGCAACCACATCAAATTTAAAAGAATTCTAGATTAATTCCAAAATAAATTTGTAATTTTCGCACTTGCGATTTCAATAAAATTAACTTTTTTCGTTGCACTAAAAGTTTTTCTATATTTTCTTCTCTTTTTTAGAATTTTCTTTTCGAAGCATAATTTCGCGGCCACTTATCCAATAGCAGCTCACTTCTGCAATTCATAAATTTTTTTTTTTGTACATGCGCAGCTGAATTTTAGTTACTTCGCAATATTTTGCGAAATACACAAATTTTTCTATATGCCTTTTCACTCCCGCTGCCATTTTTCACAATATGCATTGACACATACACACATACATACATATGTACAATATGCAAATGAATAATACCTTTTCCCAAAAATCCCGAACCACCCGTAAGAAATACACTTTTATCTCGATAAAATTCTTGCAATTGTGAGTTCATATTGAAATCCTGGTTTTTCTCGTTCACATTGACTTCTTTTATTTCCGCTTTCATATTGAACACTTGCTTGATCAATGGCTACACAAACTGTTTTTTTTTGTTTTCTTCTAACGAGTCCTATAAACCGTTAAAGAACGATGAATATTCAAATATTCGACCGTTCTACGCTGCGGTGAGATATCAATAAAACTCCAATTGTCGAGAATATCGCTTTTTATACTCGCGCACAGCTTTGAAATCTGTTTAAATATATTGTGAGAAAGATATCCAATGTACTACTGTTATTTACGCAAACAACAATAGAGCGCAACCAAGTTGTTTTGCAAAGAAAACTGAAGTTTTAAATACTCTAACGATTCTTTTTTTTTACATAGAAATAAAAAACAACAAACAACCTACACAGAGACGCAACAAAATCCGGTAAAGAATGTACATACATATTCTGGATGTACAATTAGTACAAATAATACGAGTATACCCAACAAACACTGGAACAACAATTTTCCAACGTTGGAGAAAATTTGTCTTGTTGTTCGAGGGATATAAAATTGTGTGAAGGATGCACAGCTGAATGCAAATCATAAAAAATGCAACATATAATGCATTCTTCAAATTTAGGGGTTAAACTTTTTTTCATTTTTTTAACAGTGGAATCGTGTTTCTCGTCTCCAAATCTATAATATTAGTATAATAAAAAATACAAAAATGTTTTTTTAATATATTCGTTAGATTTTGCATGTTTTTTTTCGAAGACCAATTTTTTTAAGGTCAAGGAGTGATTGTGGCTCAATGGCAATATTTTTCCTTGAATTACATTTGCTTTCAAAGCCATTTTGTTTCATGTCAAAATAATGCTTCTCTCGGAAGCGCATATCTTATTTTCCAGTCGAGAAATGTAATTTTGAAATTTTAAAATTACCCTGGTGTATTTTTCTCAAAAACATATCGAGCCTTAACCGCCAACATAACGTAAGCGACATTTGTTTCAAAAATTTCTTTTTGATGCAGAAATGCATATAGATGCTCTAGAAATATTTCTGCATCGAAAAGAAAATTTTGAAAAAAAAATGTCGTTTACGTTATTTTGGCGGTTAGGGCTCGATATGACTCAAAACATATGATTTATAAAAACATAATTCATTTACATATAAACAATATGTAATATAATAAAATAAAATGTCTATCATACTTGAGCGTACAAAATTTTTGATTCTTTGGGATTTGAGAAAATGACTGATTCTCAAATGCATCTCAAATTGAGATTTAACAAAAATGTTTATTGGGTATGTACATATGTTTGTACGTATCACCGCACCGGTTTAGTGCTAAATATTACGATCGGATATTATTACTATTATTAAACAAAAAGTAGCTGTATGTTCATAAGTATGTATGTATGTATGAATTTCTATGGAATATTTTCCATTGCTCACTATTTGCAAACCCATGTATACTGACTGATTTTATTAATAAGTACCCAGCGGCTTATAGTAGCTACTAGGGAAACACCTTTCTACACACAGAGCCGACTACAAATGTAAACATATGTATGTATGTGTATTAGGGTGGTCCAAAAATGCGAAAAATTTAAGTCCGAATTGTGATGCTCTCACCCCCTAGGATTGTTCTATACCGAAAAAATATACCCCTTTTTTTTATTTTTTAAATCAAGATTTTCCATGTATTTTAGATGGGGAAAAAACAACTTCGAAGAATTGGCTTAGAATTCTTAAAAATTAACATTTTTCTATCGAAAAACTCTGCTTATCTGCAGAAGATTCCTAGTTATAATGCCCAATTATCTATTTAACAATTTTTTCATCGCAACTGTAATTTATAGGTCCGCCAAAAACCCACAAAACCCGAAAAATGCAAAAGGGGAGCCAATAAAAAATCGCTAGTAGTAAAAAATTGTTAAATAAATAGTTTTTAATTATGATGAGAACCAGAGTTTTCCGATTGAAAAATATTGATTTTCAAGAATTCTTTCTACGAAAAGTTTTTTCCCCCATATAAAAACACATGGAAAACTTTGAGCGCTTTAGGCGACCTCTAAATTTTTTTGATTTCAAAATAAAGAAATAGGGGTATATTTTTCGGTATAGAACAATCCTAGGGGTGACAGCATTACAATTCCTACTTTACTGTTTTTGGACTACCCTAATGCATATTCATTTGTTAACACTTCAATTGCCGACAGATCAACTTAATTCTCAGTTCTCGGCTGCTGACAGCTTGAACCACTAAATTCTATGCCTGACTAAGTGCGTCTGCGTGCGTGCGTTGTTATGACGATGGGGTCAGTGGCGTCACAGTTGTCTCATAAGCAGTCAACCAGTTCCACTAAGTACTTTTTACAATTTAATTGCAACTTTTTTCCTACAAATATAAGCGCACACACATATGTACATACTTCCATAGATAATTCATATATATATGTATATGTATTTGCTTGCGAATATCAATTTACAATGGTATTAACTATTGAATTATTTACGTATTTCGATAAAAAAAAAAAATCATAGATGTGGACAACACAATTAGGTCTGCTTGCAATATGTGCGATAGTTTAGTTTACTATAAGCATTTTCATCATATGGATCTTCAATTCTAAATAATTATTATGAAGAAACATCGACCATTTTTTCCAAATGCTACTTGCATGAACAACTTTCGCTGGCTTTTCTCTTATTTTGAAAAATCCATATACATAGATAGAAGTTGATTGGGTTCTCCTTTTAACTCATAAACATATTTCCAAGTTAAACCATGTTCTGACCGACATCTAAAACATGTTTTCGCTGCTAAAACTGGTTTTCGAGCTAAAACTTGTGTTTTTGTCCATGTAAATTTTTTACATTTCAGGTCGAACGCTGAAAACTCACGTTCCACTCATTCCAATCGGTGAATACACTAATTTCTTATATATATTTATCGAAGTGGTATTCATATTTTGTCATCTTTAATACGCCACATTAAAATTGTAATAAAAGAAAAACCAAACTGTAAACAAAAGATGTAAGAAATGTCAACGAAAACACTAACAGCCGGTGTGAACAGCCATCAGCCCACAGTTTCAAAACTCGTTTTCAAAGTGTCGGTGAGACCATGGTATTACGTTGCCTGTCATGATGTGATTTACCAGAGCTATTAGAAATACTTGTAATATAATATTCAAATAAAAAATACAAATATCTTATATAGAAAGTATTCGAAATACAAATACAAAATACTTATACAAAAAATATTCAAATACATATTTAATGTGTGTTTTGAAAATACAAATACATTTGCAAATTTTTTTTAAATCACATGTACATATCGTTAAAGGCAAAAGGCCGTAACTACCAAAACATTCCCAAGTTCACTTTTCGATTTATTATAATCATAATTACGATGCATTTCATCAAAATACACAAGGTCCCTACATTGTATTATGCAAAAAAAAAAGTTTTACATTTCAGGTCACGATGTTGGTTACGCCTTTTTGGATCC